AGAGTATTCCTCTCCCTTGTTCTTGGACTTGCCTATGGTTGTGCCTAGCCTCCAAGTCCCAAACTGAAATTCTCTGCTATTTCCAGATAAACCCAACTTCCTGGTAAAATAACTGGATGCTTACTTTTAAGGTTAACATAATATAAATAAGTAAATAGGTCCATAGAGAGACAGATATCTTCAATCAACAAAATAAGAAACTGAAACAGCATTCCAACCCAAGGCAACATCAAAAGACTCCAGGGCCATTCAGGCTTTAGGGCTTGTTACATAAAATGATAAAGGTAAAAATAATCACCACCTCATGTAAACTTTTTTAATTATACAAAAACTAGGGAGTTATTCAACCATTAAAATAGGCTACCTCTTCTTGATACAAAGACCAGGTGAGAATCCCTCAATTAAACAACACTTAAGCCAAGCTCACTTGTGTAGAGACAAATATCCTAAATAAATTCATAGTATTTCCAATATAGCAGTGAATTAACATTAGAAAATGCTGCCAAATGGAAATCACTATTTTAGCAAAAAAAGAGGGGAAAAGGACAAGACTATGTGCAAGGGTAAAGAAAAAGCCTTTGACAAAATAAATAAATAAATAAATAAATAAATAAATAAATAAATAAATAAATAACACTTGCCAATGATAGTAAGTTTTCACAAGAAAAGAAAGAAAGAAAGAAAGAAAGAAAGAAAGAAAGAGGGAGGGAGGAGGAAGGGAGGGAGGGAGGGAGGGAGGGAGGGAGGGAGGGAGGAAGGAAGGAAAGGAAGGACGGACGGAAGGAAGGAAGGAAGGAAGGAAGGAAGGAAGAAGGAAAGAAAGAACGAAAGAAAGAAAGAAAGAGAATTTCCATTTTCTAAAATACATAATAAATATACTACATGGGAACTATTGCAAACATACCCAATAGTTTTAACAAGAAAACAAAGACATATGATATCAAATCCACTGTCTAAAACTGGATGAAAATACATACCCAGTACACAACTGTTATACAAGAATATGAATACCAAACTAAATAAAAGGAAAGAATAATGAAAAGAAAGAGGAAACAATGGTAACAATATGATCTCTTAATTAAAAAGTTCCAAGTAATTGGTACAGAAATTAAGACACATAAGCAACTTCAGAAAGATGTGGTATAAAAGATCAACATAGCAAATTAAGGAATCTGATAAAACAAAATCACTAAGAAATTACAACATATAATGGAAAATATATCACTGAAAACAACAATAATATCCAAGATATACCTAACACAAAACCAAACAGACACCTACAAGTTCTTTAGGAGATAACTATAAAAAGGTACTGATAGACTAACACAAATCAGAACCATAATGAGATACCACCTTAAACCAATCAGAATGGCTAAAATTAATAAATAGGAAACAACAGATGTTGGTGAGGATGAAGAGAAAGGGGAACACTTAACACTGTTCGTGGGAATGCAAACTGATGCACACACTCTGGAAATCAGTATGAAGATTCCTCAAAGAGTACAAAACAGAACTACCCTACGACCTGATATTTATCCAAAGGATACAAGAATAGTGATTTGAAGGGGCAGCCATGTCGACAATAGCCAAAATATGGAAAGAGCCCAGATGTCCCTCAACAGATGAATGGATAAAGAGGAGGTGGTATGTACACACACACACACACACACACACACACACACACACACACACACAAAACAGAATATTACTTAGGCATCAGAATGAAATCTTGCCACTTGCAATGACGTGGATGGAGCTAGAGTGCATTATGCTAAGTGAAATACGTCAGAGAAAGACAAATGCCATATGATTTCACTCATATGTGGAATTTAAGAAACAAAACAGACAAACACAGGGTAAGGGAAGGAGAAATAAAATAAGATGAAAACAGAGAGGAAGACAAACCATAAGAGGCTCTTAACTCTAGGAAACAAACAGGGTTGCTGGAGGGGAGGTGGGTGGGAGAATGGGCATTAAGGAGGGCACTTGATGGAATGAGCACTGGGTGTTATATGCAACTGATAAATCATTAAATTCTACTTCTGAAACTAATAATATCCTGTATGTTAAACTGAATTTAAATAAAAAAAATAAAAATTATTGAAAGACTTATGAACAAGAATTTTTGAAAAAAGCAGTTTACTATGTTTATTCATATGAGAGAATATTGTAAAGATGTCAATTCTCTTTAACATATTTATAGTCATGGCCTTACCTATAGCTACAAATATGTCACCAATTCAGGCTGCTTTGCCCATAATCAAAATAAACCCTAAAAAATTTAAAGAGAAATAAAAAACCAGTATCAACAAGAGCAAAACAACAAAAACGATAAGCTCCTGAGGCATACTAACTCTGTGTTGAACTAGAGCCTCTGTGTGGGCAGGTGGAGGCCTGCTCTGTGATTGAGAATGGTACTAGCTTGCAAGGGAGGCCAATGACAGGACTGACTAGAGAGAAGTTTTTAAGGTCAGCCCTTGGCTCCTCCAGTATTCACTGGGACAGTGAATTTCTACGGCTTCAATAAAGGTACCCGAGGGAGCTCCTCAGAGCCTAAGTGCCAGGACCAAAGGATAATATTAGGACTACATTAAAGAATGGGTTGGTTGTAGCAGTGTGAGTCCACAGGCTGTGCTGTTAACCACTTGAAAATTTGCCATTGAATGTGGACTGGCCTTCATTAACATCTTAATAGAACAAAAGGTACAAGGCACAAACTAAAATAGACTAGCAAGTATCACAGTAATTGCACATAAGGATGGAAATTCATTCCAGAAACTTTGAGTGATGAGAATACTGTCAACTAAAAGAAGCCCCAGGAAGGTGGTCAGGCTAAGGAGCACCCCATTTTCCCACGGGATTCCTAAGGCCTTGATGGGGCTGTGGGGAGGTATGAAGTGTGAAAAGGAGGGAATTCCAGGCCTTCTAACTCACTGGAAGTTCCCTGAATGAAATCCGATGGACTCCTCCACCCAGAAAAGGGACCCCACAGGATCTGCACGCTAGGACAGCCATGTCTGGGAAGCTTCAGGCAGGAGCAGCCTGATGAGGTGTACCTGGAATTCACATCAGGAGGCTCACAGATCTGAACGCTTTGGTGTGAAGAGTCAGTCTTAGGTCAGCTGACTGGAGGTAGCCAAGGACCTATTAGAAGTGAAGTGAGACACTGAGAGAGTAATGAGGGGTGCACCGACCACATAAGCGGCACTCCGAAGAGTACCTGTGGTATCATGTGTGGAGGGCTCCGGGGATGGCAGCTAAGCTCAGGCCCCCCAAATACTTCCTACCAGAGGCTGGGAACAAAATGACACCCTTGGTCTGAGGCCAGCACACTCAGCAGAGCAGAGGGAGAATTCACACAACCTGCTGAGAGGCAGTGACAACACCCTCGCTAATCCAGCGGCAGCCTCCCCTACAATCCAGCACAGCACACACTACCCCCCCCACCCCCCACCCCGCCCACAGAGCCCACCCCCACCCTCCAGGGTCCTCCTGGGGGCCCAGACCCACATGACCGGAAGTGGACCCGTGGCCCTCGAGAACGTCCTCCTAACCACGCCGTGGGCGCTGGGGCCTGGTCGGACAGCTCCTGCCTGGGGTGAGCACAGACAGCGGTCCCACGGGCGGTTAGGGGTCGACGTCCCAGGAGTCCCGGGTTACAACCGTGGGGACAAGCCCCCGACAGCCCCCCAGCCCCCCAGCCCCATCTCCCCTGGAAAGAGGGGCCCAACAGACCCTGTCCCGCTCCGCCCCTGCACTCGCGGCTCGGAGGCCCCAATATGGCCGTTAAGCCCCAAGGCCCTTCACTTACCTCGCGGGGTCTCGGGGATCGCAGGCCTTGGCCGGGGGATGCGGGACTCTGGCTCGGCTCAGCACAGGCAGAGATCCCAGGCCGACTGGCGGGAAGGAGAGGTCCTTCGTGAGGACTGGGGAGACTCCCTACCCCAGAACAGGGGCCACGCAGGGTCCCCGCTCCTGGCCTTGGCCTGGGAGGGTCCGGGCGGCTCTGAGGACTGAGGTGCTCCCTCACGTTGTGCTGCGGAGACTCGGAGAGGTAGGGGCCTTGGTCTAAGGGGCTGGCAGCAGGTGAGCTGAGGGAGGATTTCCAGGTCCTGCCGGACTCAGGCTGAGGACTGTCAGGCTCCTAAGGAGTCTCCAGGCCCTGCTGCCATTAGCGTGAGGGGCCAGCCGCAGGGCAAGAGACAGCAGCTCCGGGCTCTGCCAGCAGTCAAGGGAGGACCCTGGGTGAGGACCGGGGGAACCACCCCCCTGAAGGGAGGGGGACCAGAGACAATATGGCCTGTCCCCTCCTGCGGACCCTTAAGATCCCAAGAAAGGAATGTCAGGCTGACACATCCCATCATTTCTCCTATCAGGTCTCAGGCAGGTTAGAGTTTTGATCTGCAGGTGCAGCCCCAGTCAGAGGAAGGGAGGGTCCCAGGTCCTACACGGAGTCCAAGTGGGGATTCTGCATCACTCTGAGGACCCCACGAACTCTGGGCAGAGAGGTCCTCCCATAAGTGTTCATCACTAGGTGCCCCCCGTACTCGAGGGGTGGGCTGAAGTGCTCCCTGCTTTCCTCCTCCAGGGTACCCTGGAAGATCACAGCGTCTCCTTCAGAGCAGGGGAGGGGGGTGGGGGCGCGGGTCTTGCCAACAGTTATTAACAGGACGATCTTGAATGTGAACTGCGAGGACCCCCCACCCGGACACTGGGATCTTCCCTGTCAGGAACACTGGCGTCACCCCAGTAACCCCGGGGCAGGGCTGTCTGCCTGGGGACCCGAGGCTCACACCCCCTTCCTCCACCGGGTGCTCAGGGCCCAGGCTGACCAGGGTAAAGGGAGGCCTGTGGGGGTCCAAGAGCAGTGCCCTGGGGGACCCTGCAGGGGCGGCCGTGGTCAAAGCCAGGGCGGGATCTCTCCGCTGAAGGGGCTCCCCCACCTCACCGTCCCCCTCTCCAGGTGCCCTCGCCACCTACCAGCCCTGCCCAGTGTCGCCATGCCTCAGGGCCAGAAGAGCAAGGTCCCTGCCCGGGAGAAACGCCACCAGGGCCGTGGTGAGGCTCAGAGTGTCGGGGGTGCTCCTGCTGCGGCAGCACCAGCCGCCGCAGCAGAGGAGCCCCCCCGCTGCCCCCCACCCGACGCGGGAGCAATGCCCCCGGGCTCCCCCGAGGCGGGTCCCGCCCCGCAGCCCCAGGGCGCCCCGGCCCCTGGGTCTCCTGGCACGGGTCCTCCAGGCCCGCCACGTGACCAGGGCGCCGAGAACGCGGCCGCCCCCGCGGGCCCCCCGGCCGCCCGCAAAGACCCCCTCACCCGCAAGGCCAGCTTGCTGGTGCAGTTCCTGCTGGAGAAGCACAGCAGCGGGGAGCCCATCACGCGGGCCGCGATGCTGAAGATGGTCAGCAGGAAGTACCGCGAGCACTTCCCCGAGATCTTCAGGCTCGCCTCGGAGCGCATGGATCTGGTCTTCGGGCTCGAGCTCAGGGAGGTCGACGCCCGCAGCCAGTCCTACACCCTGGTCAGCAAGCTGGCCCTCCCGAGCGACGGCAACAAGGGGCTGCCCAAGACCGGCCTCCTGATGGCGCTCCTGGGCCTGATCTTCATGAAGGGCAACCGCGCCACCGAGGAGGAGGTCTGGGAGTTCCTCAGTGTGCTGGGCGTGCACGAGGGCAGGAGGCACCTGATCTTCGGCGAGCCCCGGAAGCTCATCACCCAAGACCTGGTGCACCAGGGCTACCTGGAGTACCGCGCGGTGCCCGCCAGCGACCCTCCGCGCCACGAGTTCCTGTGGGGCCCGCGAGCCCGCGCGGAGACCAGCAAGATGCAGGTGCTGCAGGTGCTGGCCAAGATCAACGACACCGTGCCCAGCAGCTTCCCCCCGCTGTACGAGGAGGCGCTGCAAGAGCAGCAGGAGCGCGCGGCGGCCCATGGCCGGCGCTGCGTCTAGTCAAATCAGCTGGGGCGGCTGCTTTTCCTTGCGGTGGAAGAGGGCAGTCGACCTTCCAGGTCGTGCAGAGTCCTAGGGGTTGGAGGGGACAAAGCACAGGTCTTCTTTCTATTTGTTCGAAACGGCTAGCTTCTATAAACACATACACAGTTATATTTATTTAGGTGTTTTCCAATGTTTTTTCTTGGAATAGCTCATTTAGTTCTAGAATATAAACTTAAGAATGACATGGCTCTCATTTATCGCTGTTTCACAAATGAGAGTTACAGCGTTGGTGTCTATCACAAAGAAAGTCACAAACCATCTATATTGTATTCGTGATCCAAAAGCAGGTAACAAGGAAGTTTGCCTTTTTTCCCCTGTTGCACATAAGTAATTTGTAGGTCTATTTTTTCTTTAAGTTTTCAGATGTTGTTCATTTTAATTGAAGATTTTGCTTCTGAATCTAAGTTTATTAATGCCATAGATAACACATTTATTACTATTCAGGTTTAAGATTGAGTTTTGTTTTTGTAAACAAGCTGAAAAACCTTCAATATTTTCTTTTTGCTACAGAGCAAAGTAACATGGCACTAGAACAGGGTTTTTCATGGGAATGTGGAAGAACCTCATAGGAAAATATTTGGGATCAGAACTAGTGACACATAAGTAAAGGGTGGTTAACTCATTGCCTTATTCTCTTCATCTTTGCTTTTAAAATCAAACAATATATACCTGGATATTCGTAGCTAATTCAAAGTGTATGAGAAATTAAATAAATTAAACTTCTTGCTCATTCCCTCTTTTCCTCTAGCATTAAATGAGCATCTGCTCTTTGGAAAGCTCCCTAATAGCACCGGGGATAGTAAGAAAAATAAGACTGAACCACTGCACACAGAATTGTAGACTTTAGCAGTAGTTACCATACAATGAAGAGGGTAAGATACATTCTAAGTAATAAATAAATGACAAGTAAAAGAAGAGGTGCATAAGTGGAGGTCCTCGAGGAGAACAGTCTAGTGTAAATTGCTTGATCAAGGCTGTGTTGCCCTAGGTAAAAATGCCAGTCCCTTGTGGGGGGGGTGTCTTTTTAAGCCGGGCAGTGCAGTGGGCTGGATGTGGCTGTGGGAGCACTGGGCAGGGAGGGACCAGGTCCTCAGTCGGTGGTTCTGAGTTGAGAGACTAGGCCTAGAACGGAAAACAGATTTTCACAGTTACTTTGGGAACGTGAGAAAACCAGTGACAGTCCCTGGCTGGGGCTTGAATGGAAGAGGTCCTATGTCCTTGTGACAGTGCAGGTAACACAGCGCACAAATGTGTTTTAGGCATAGAATGTCCAGAGAATTTCTGAGTAATAAGGGTAATACTCCACTGAAGTGAGATTCCAAGAAGCCCCTGGACTTTACCAGTTGTCATGGGATAAGTGAGAGCTCACTCCATTAAAAGGGCATTTTAACTAAGTTATTTTGAGTATAATTTGTCAAACTCTTAAGGGAGGGCTCGAATTTTGGTGGTGATAAGATGAATGAAAGAAGGGGGTGGTTTGGGTGGAAATGGACCTGGGAGGGAAGTTGTTGATTCTTGACACAAATAGGAACTTTTAGTTGCATCCAACTGGAGAAGACAATCCCATACCCACATTCAACAACAGATGCTCTGATGGAGAAATACTATTGCATTTTATTTGCCCAGCAGCATTTCAGTGGATTTGGATTTCTATATTGTTTGGAGTTGCATATTCTCTAATTCAAGCTGGAAATTAAATTCTGAGAGGAAAGTGTGTTACCACCTGGGGTTAAAATCATCTTAGCAATAACTGCCATTCATTAAAAGTACTGAACTTAGGGGTGCCTAGGTGGCTGTTGGTTAAGCATCTGAAGTCAGCTCAGGTCATGATCTCAGGGTCGTGGGATCGAGCCCTGCGTCAGGCTCCACACTCAGCCAGGTGTCTACTTGTCCCTCTCCCTCTCCCTCTGACTGTCCCCCTGTCCATTCTCTCTCTTTCAAATAAAATCTTTAAAAAAACAAAAATAAATAAAAGCACTGAAGTTTGCCTAACACTGTGCCAGGTAGGTTACCCACATCACATGTATGTCTATAGTCCTACATAATAAACACTATCAGACTCAGTTTTCAGCCAAAGAATTTAGAATATTCTCAAATTCCAGGCTGGCCAGTGACTGTGCTGGCCCAGACCCTGGCTCTGAATTCCTCTAGGGCCCACACTGACTGCCACTCTCCCCAGGCTGAGGCACACCTGTGTCACTTATTTCCTTTTTCTGCTCACTATTCCACAATGTAGTTCTGGTGTTAAAAAGCACAACTTCATACCCAAACTACAGTTCTGGAATACACAGCCCGAGGAACGAGCAATAAAAATAGCACAGTATGAATAAAGGAAGAGACAATATTCAGTGATAATTACATTATCAACAAAGGAAATGTCAGGAAACCTCAAAAGATCAGGGACTCAGCATCATGTGGCTCAGTCCCTTCACAGTGGAAAGTAAATCTTTTAGAAGTGAAATTATGTACGAGGCTAAGTCTGTGAAGAGAAGGAAGATCAGCTTGCTTTCTGTGACAGCACACCACCCGCTGTTGGCCCCCATCTTTCCTATAGTTTCTTCATCTCATGTCACTCCTGGGAATAAACCCATTCCCTACCAGCTTTGCAGTAGGGAGACTAAGCAAGAGTTTGGAAGGATGAGGTGTTTTTCAGGAAGCCTTTCAAAGAAGAGACAGGAGTCAATATGAAAATTCTGATGAATGAGGACTGAGGCAGCAAACCCCCCACAATAACTAGAATCACGGGAAAACTGGCCGGTGACTTCTTGGCAGAGCTGCCAAGAGAAGCATTCCATCACTTGTTTGGGGGTTCTCAGGGCCACGAGAGCTTTGGACTACATGGGTGATCTTAGGTTGAAAGAAAGTGGAAACCCCGGGCCTGCTGAAGTTACTCCTGCCTGTGCCTTTCCAGCTATGATATCAGGATTCAGGCTTCTTGGGGCCCTCTCTGATCCAGATGGGGGGTTACCCCTAGTCTTCACTTAGGATCTTTACCTTGACTCCCAGCAGTCCCTGAGTTGGCCTGCCTTGGCCTCCTAGGTCTGAGAGGGGTCACCAGCCAGTCTTCCCATGGTTCTAGTTTATGAGGTTCCCGTGGTGTAAGGGAAGGGACCTCAGGGAGGCGAAGGAAGGAGTCTCACATCCTCCCAATAATCAAAGGGAGGGTCCTGAGTGAGAACGTAGGGAAACCTTTTCCCTCAGAACTGAGAGAATCACACAGAACCTTGCCTTTGCTGAAAGCCCTTGGATACCTGGGCATTGTTGACATAGTATGACATATTCACTTCCTCCTATGATGTCACAAGGTGGTGAGAGACTTTGTCTAAGGCGTGCGGCTTAAGCAGCAGCAGTGGAAAGATTTCTTGGTTTTTCCACAGGCCAAGGTGAGTACCCTGCGGACTAAAGGAGCCACATACCCCGAACAGTAGGAGCACGAAAGCATTAGTTTCTTACAAGCTTCCAGCTTCAGGAGACCAAGCACAGCTATAGTCAGATAAGGAGAGCCTCACTTCCTTCTAGGGGTCTTAGGGTGGTACAAACCTAGATATGAGTGGCAGGCTTAAGGGTAAGGGAGGGAGGAATTCCAGACCATGAAAAGGGTCGGGGATCAAAGCAAGGACCAAGGGACTACCCACCACTAAATAGAAAGGGTAACCAAGAATCTGGCTCTGCCCCTGGTTTCAGCCCTAAGAACCAGGGCCAGGCTATCAAGTAAAAACTCCCCCAATACTTATTTCTATCAGATTTACAGGGAATGAAATCCTTAGTTTGAAGGTGCAGCTACCATTCAATGAAAGGGGTGGAGGTGCCAGGCCCTACACAGATCCTAAGTAAGGACCCTTAATGAGGACTGAGGACCCCAAAGAGGCCAGGATAGAAAACTCCCCCCTCAACATTCAGACCTAGACAGGAATTATAAGCTCAGGACCCCTTTCACTTCCTTATTGTGGGTGCCAGGGAGGCTTGTGATGTCAGTCTCAGGAGAACAGAGGAAAAAAATCCATGACCTGCCGCTAGTTGAATGATGGTCTTGCGTTCTTTGAACCACAAGACTGGCAGCCCCTGCGGTCACGCCAGTATGCCTGAGGCAGGTCTGGTAGGAAGCAGCCTAAACCTCACTCTACTTTCCTTCACAGGTTTCCCGAAGGACAGGCTGGTTAGGAGAACAGGAGTCCTGTGGGTTTTTAGAGCCGTGCCCTCGAGGAAAACTGCAAATGTAGCCTTCCTTATATGCCACCAGCCAAGGTGGCATTTTCATGCGGAAGGTGCACACGTCCCGTTAACCTTCTTCTTCCTCCAGTGGGCCCTCATCACCTGCACTCCTCCTCACGCTCCTGACCATTGCCCCGATCATACTCATTATGCCTCAGGGTCAGAAGAGTAAGCACCACACTCGTGAGAAACGCCACCAGTCTCGGGGTGACTCCCAGAGTCACAGGAGAGTTCAGGCCCCTGTAGCAATGGAAGAGCGTCCCACCTCCTCTTCTCCTGTTTTGGAGGGTAATACTCAGAGTTTATCATCTACCGAGTCAACTAACACCTCCCAAGAGTCTTGGGGAGCCCCATCTACCACCATTACCTCTTCAGGTATCTCTGGTACAAGATCTGATGAAGGTAAGAACAGCCAAGATGAGGAACATCTACGTTTCTCTGATGTCTTACCTTCTACTGAGAGCTCATACACTGATATTCTAACTATGAAGGTGGGTTTGTTGGAACAGTTTCTTCTGTACAAATATAAAATGAAACAGCCCATTATGAAGGAAGACATGCTGAAGATTATTGGCCAAAATTACAAAAACCAGTATCCTGAGATCCTTAAGAGAGCCTCTGAATGCATTGAGGTTGTCTTTGCAGTCGACTTGAAAGAAATCGACTCAACCAGCCACTCTTATGACCTCATCAGCAAAGTGAAACTCCCTAACAATGGGAGGGTGCATGCTGGCAGGGGGTTACCCAAGACTGGTCTCCTGATGACAGTCCTGGGTGTGATCTTCGTGAAGGGCAACTGTGCTGCTGAGGAAGACATCTGGAAATTCCTGGGTATGATGCGAGTATTTGCCGGGAGGAAGCATTTCATCTATGGAGAGCCCAGGAAGCTCGTCACCAAAGACTTAGTGAGGCTAAAGTACCTGGAGTACCGCCAAGTACCCAACAGTGAACCTCCACGCTATGAGTTCCTGTGGGGTCCGAAAGCCCAAGCTGAAATCAGCAAGATGAAAGTCCTGGAATTTTTGGCCAAAGTCAGTGATACAGTTCCCAGTGCCTTCTCATCAAGATATGAAGAAGCTTTGAGAGATGAGGAAGCAAGAGCCCGAGCCAAACCTACAGCCAGTGGGAATTACAGGGGCACATCCAGCAGCTTCTCCCACCCCTACTGAAATCTGAGGCTTTTTAAAAAATCATCTAAATAAGAAAATATGACATCACAGTAGGGATTTTCATGGAAATGTGGAAGATTCCCACAGTAAATTTACTGAGATAATGGAATATAAAAAAATAATAAAACATATCAACTTTAGTGTTCTTTACTCCTTTCAGTCTTTTGTTTTATAAAATTAAAGGATTTATACTTTAATATGCTTAGTTTAATAAAGAATTTAGGAGACATTAAATCACAACAAGTTAGACCTCACACTCTCTCTTTTATTCCCCAAATGTCTACTGAGTAATCTGCTTTATGGAAGGCTCCATGCTAGGAATGGGGATGCTAAGATAAAGACCTAGCCTTTCCTATAGAACTTTAGAAACTAGTAGCTATGATCATAAGGAAGATACTGAGATACCCTCTATGTCTTATAAGAAAGTTAAAAAAAGAAAAACAGAGCGAGAAGGGAGGTGTCCTAGGGCAGAGCAGCATGTATATTCCCTGAAACAAGGCAGTTTAAGTTTTGGGATATTGCAGGTCATCTGTGTGATGTTATTTCAAATTAAACTACATGATGGACTAGACTGAGGTTATAGAAATGGTGATCAGAGGCCATACCCTAAGATGATGCATCTCAGAGATGAGAGAAAAGAAAAATCTTTAAATGGAAAACTACACTGTGATGCAAGGTCTAAAATTAAGGTTCAATATTATAGGCTCCTTGACACTTAGTGAAACCGACAGGGCCTCAAATTGCCTAAATGGAAGTTCCCCTCCATACTGTGCACCTGCAGCTAGGGTTCACTATCAAACAACCATCTCCATCAAGGCGACAAGGCACATACCTTGCTTATTCCTAAGTAGCATATTTCTGTTCCCTATCAGCTTGCAGAATTATTCAAAGAAGCTGATTACAAGGTACCATGGGAAATAAGGTCACCTCAACCTCTTGACACCAAACCCTGTCTCCCAGAGATGTGCTCATTCACTGTGTTCCTGGGTGTAACCCTCGTGTTGTACTATGTAGCACGTGGTGCCCCTCTCCCCCAGCCAAGTGAGTACACATGATTAATAACCAGTTGTTTGTCTTATCTCTACAGTGTCAGGTGGTACATGTTTGAAGTCTACATAACCATAGTGTGGAAGTTCCTTCCTCACCTCATGGGGTAAAAAGGAGGCCATTAAAACAAACTCTTATAAATTACTTTGGCATTGTAGATAATCCAGAAAGAAATCTCTACCTGGGGCAGTGTATTAACCTGTTAGGAATGCCCTAGCAAAATAACACAGACTGGGTGGTTTAAAACCAAATTTATTTTCTCATAGTTCTGGACGCTGGAAGTCCAATGTCTTCCAGCCTGATTGCTTTCCTCTGAGGCTCCTCTCCTTGGCTCCCATATGGCCACCCACTTTATTTGGTTGTCCTTTTGTGTGCATGAATCTCTGGTGTCTCCTTGTGGGTCCTAGTCTTTTTTTTATAAGGACACCAGTCAGACTGGGTTATGGCCCACGCTAATGGCCTAATTTTAATTTAACCATCTCTTTTATGACCTCATCTTCAACTATAGTCATGTTCTGAGCTACAGGGGGTCATGGCTTCCACATGCCTTTTGGGGGGACACAATTCAGCCCGAAAAGACAAGAATCAAAGGTGTCTTTGTTATTATCTCAATAAAGAAGAGTATAGTGCACAAATAGGCATTTCAAACACAATGACTCCGGGGAGTTTCGCGACAAAAGGGTGAACTCCCTTGAGGTGACACACACAGAAGCTACTGTACTGACACTTTTTTGCATTGAACTGGGGAAGTCAAAGTCCACTGCATTAAAAGAGCATTTTAATTAGATTATCTTGCCTATATTTTGGCAAATTCTAAGAGAAGATTAGATTTTGGTGGGGAGGAAACAAATGAAAATAAGAGGTGATTTGAATGGAAGGACAACTGGGAAGAACTTAAAGAGTGGCTCCTTGACAAAATGCAAGGAGTTCTAAGTTGCATCCAGGTGGGGAAAGAAAAGGCACATACCAAAATTAAATAATAAATACTCTAATAGGGAAGAGATACTTAACTGTACTTGCTAAAGTGAATTTTTGGCTGATTTGATGTTCTTTTGTCTAGGAGTATTACATTTCCGAGGACATATCCTGGATTTAAAAAAAAAAACATTCCTCCATAGGAGGATGATATTATCTAGGTAAAAGTCATCCTAACTGTCTTTCATTAAATGCCCAGTATTTGCCAGTATCTTGACGGATACTTTATATACAGTACCTACATTCCCACAGTCTTACAATGTAGTTTTACCAAACTATAAGTGTCAGAGCTAGACCATACCCCTAGTGTGAATTCATCCAGGGCATATAGCAACCTACCACTCCCACCCTGAAGCAGACGTTGTGAACCTTTATTCACTTTTCTTGTCACTACTCCAAAATGTATCTCAGTAGATTAGAAAAAAAAAAGAGGAATATATGGCCAGAGCAATAAGAATACCAAAATAAATGAGAGGTATGAATAATGAAAGGAAGGATATAATATCTGCTAACAATATGTAGTGTTGCTTAACTTCAAAAAATGGCGGTCTCATGAAATTATCTGGCTCAGCCTGTTTCCTATGGCAAGTACTTTAGAACAGAAGTGACCTAAGAAGCCAAGTCTGGGTAGTAAAGAGAAGGAATATATCAGCGTGGTTTTTGACTCTGATATTCCACCTCCCAAGCTAAATCTCTAAATTGTTTTTCACCTTCCCGATCTCGTATCAGTCCTGCAACACGGACTCATCCTCTGTAAGATTTGCACGAGAGAGATTACTCAAGAGTTTGCAGGGATGTGGCACTGCTCTGAAAGCCTTTCGTTAAAGAAACAGGAGCCAAGATGAGGACCGTATGAATGAAGACTGACGAAAGCAACATTCAGTCACATAGGCAGTCACACTGCGACCACCCCTCCCCTGCTCTTACATCTACGCGGTCAGACTGAAGGCTCTGCAAGAATGTGATGTCATCTGCAAGGATGTGAGGGCCTCGTAGATGTGGTGGTGGAGAGAAGGGCCCAAGGTCCTAGATGAGTGTAACTGACAACCCTGTACGAAACTGAGGGTCTTCTCCACGCCAGAACAGAGGGGGCACCAGAGATCCCACCCCTGCTGCCAGACTTGAGAGGCTCTGTCGTTGGTGACCGGAAGAACATCCCTCACTTCCTCTTGGGGTGTCTGAGGAAGGTGCGAGACTTTGCGGCGGCCACCTCAGGGCAGGTGAAGGAGAAATCTTCCAGACCCAAGCACAAGGTGAGAAGCCTGATTGAGTAATGAGAGAATACCCCTGCCCCCCAAAAGTGTCCCCCTTGCTCCTTCCGAGGCCCGGCTCCTCCTCTCCGTCCTAGACCCCTCCCTTCCCCTCCCCTTTCCTCCCCCCCCCCCACGCGCACGCGAGCGCACGCACGTGCCAGAGCGGTTACTCAGGCGGAGGCAGATTTCTGCCTGGAGGGTCGCAAAAAGGTGCAGGCTTTGGTGGGAGGCGCTAGTTCAGCAGAGGGAGGAGAAGACCCTAACAAGAATCAAGGTGAGGAAACTTAAATAAAAATTCTGACCAGAGCCATGCTAGCGGCTCCCGGGGAAAATAAACATGGCAGTCAGGCGGGCGTGAGATTTCCCAAAATATTTGAAGGATCAGGAAGCTGAAGGTCTTGATCTCAGGGGAAGGGTACCATTCCCTGAAGGAAGTCAAGGATGTGGAAGTCCGAGTTAGGTCTGAAGGGGCCAATAATCCTAGAACAATGAGGTGGCATAGAACTCGCCGCGGCCATCAATCCGGGGGAGCTCTGGGGTAGGGCTGTCGGGCTTACCTCAGCAAGGACGGACTCGGGGATGAGAGAGCCTTGATCTGAGGGCAAGGGCCTTAAGTTAGCAAATGAAAGCATTCAGCTGGGAATCAGGGTAAGGACTCTGTGAGGACTGAAGGAATCTCTGTCCTGGTGATATATTGACTGACACTCATTTTTCCCCTCTGGTTCATGCGAGAGTTGTGGGGGAGGAGAGTGTGTGTTGTGAGGGGGAGGCCGGTGAGAGATTTTGTTTAAAAGGGACTGTTTGCCCTCTGCAGTAGGAGGATTTCTAGATCTTTCCAAGAGTTAATGTGAGGACCATGACGTCTGAATGGAACAACCCCAGTGAGAGTACAAGAGAAACCATGTCCAATTCTTAGCCTTGGAGAACAATGGGCAGGAGGGACAACTCCCACATTCTCCCAGGTGGTGTAAGGAGATGTTGGCAGGGACAGAAGAGTCCCCAGGCTATGCCAGGGGCCAAAGAAAAGATGGAAGGGACCACTGAACATGGAAAAATAACAAAAACTCCGATCCCTATCTTTGCATTCAGAACTTGAGTTCTGAGCCTCACCCTCACTTATTTTTATCAAATCTGAGAGAGAAGAGATCTTTAGTGTGAGGGTACAATCACCAGTGAGCAGAAGGGAGGTATGCCAGGCACTACCTGGAGGCCAAGTGAGTACCCTGAATGAGCAATAAGGACCAAAACAACCCATGAAGGAAAGGGCTCCACCTAGCTCTCAGTTGGGGGCCCCTGACAGGGATAGGGAGTAAGGAACTACTACTTTCCTTCTTCCTCTGGGGTCTCTGGCTTTGGTTTGAGGTATCGACTTCACAGCAATAGAATAGAGGAGGCCCAGGACCTACGGAGAGTTGACAAGATGATCTTGAAGTTGAACTGAGAAGACCTCTGCAGCCCAGAACAGAGGTTCACCACTGGCAGCCTCTGATGTCACCCCAGTACACCCCAGGCAGGGCTGACAGACAGCTGTCTAAGGCTCCCTTTAACTTCCTCTATAGGGTTCTCAGGGGACAGGCCGATTAGAACAGGAACCTTGTGTGTGGGTTCTTGGAGCAGTGCCCTCAAGTAAACCTGCAGAGGCAGGCTTGGTTTAAAGCCAAGGTGGAATCTTCCTATTGAAGGTGCTCACATCATCTCATTCTTTTTCCTCCGGGTGTCCACATCTCCTGATTTCCTGTTCATACTCCTGCCTGCTGTCTGTGACCGTAGTGCCATCATGCCTCGGAGACAGAAGAGTAAGCTCCGGGCTTCCGAGAAACGCCGCCAGGCTCGAGGTGAGGCTCAGGGTGAGAGTGTTCAGGCCA